CACTGGTCTGAGGAGCAAAGGTGGTTGCATCGGCACTGGTCTGAGCTGGTGTGAATGTAGCTCTGCTTCCAGAACTGAGTTTGCTGGGATGGACCCAGACTGGGTGTCTTAGCAGTTGTGCTTGTTACCTGTTCTTAACATCAACCCTGTATTTCAGCAGATTTACAAAGTGAAGGCAGCTGTTCAATAATGCATTATCCTGTTCTTTCATTTACTACTTTAACACAGTGGCMAAACCTATATATAAATATAATCATCTCAGTTTCCTTGTGAGTATTCCCTTGGGTTTTTGAAAGCATCTTGTCCCTGCTTGAGTAGGGAGGCTTGGAATAGATGATATCTAGAGGTCCCTTCCAACCTCAACCATTCTTTGATCTGAGTTTTCTGGATTCAGTTRGAAGTTTTATTCACTTCCTCACTTCTGTGAGAAGGCAGCAGGTAATCTCCTTGCTCAGGGAGAAGGAAAGCACAAAGATTAAGACCAWTTAGAAGAAGGTCCTTTAACTTTTGTTAGTTTATGACCCTAATGTTATCCAACTGGCTATATGTAGGATCAARTTTATTAATGGGTGGTGAGCTCTGYTTGTCAATATTTATTTTATTAGTTCTCTGCGCTTTAGAGGAAAAAAATGGGTCCATGTTTTTTCTAAGAATGTAACTTACTTTGCAAAACATTTTTAATTTCTTTCTTCACACATGTAGGTTCTGTTGGTTCAAAATTGTGAAAATATTAGATTTACTGTGGAGCATAGAGTGTACCCAGAGGAACTATCTGATTTTTTTTCTACTGTGTTGTGTTTACAAATATGTTCAGGAAGCTAGAAATGGCAGCACTTTCCTATTTCTCAAAGAAATTTCTTTGAGAAATGAGTCCCTGAAGAGCATTAGCCCCTTTCTTTAATTAAAAATAAATAAATAAATTAATTAAAGTGCACACTAACAAAGGTAACTTAACTGCTGCTGATTCTGTGTTTAACACTGCATCTTTCAGGCAGCATTGACTAATTCAGGYGCTAATTAAATGTGTTTAAGTTGCGCCTTTTATCAGAATGAAATTAACTTTAACCATAAAGAATTAAACTTCAAGGTAACCAAAGGAAACATTTTATCAGTTTGATGTGCTGCTGTCGGAATGGGAATGCTACATTTTTAAGAGACCACCTTTTCTTTGAAGGATAGGGAGAGGCTGCTGAAGGAACTGGAACAAATGCAGAGTATGGACCGGCTGCACAGGAGGCACCTTGTAGCACAGATGCCACCTCAGCTGTTTGTACCTGCGTACAAACGACTGGAAATAAAAGAAGACTGGCAGAGGGAACTGGAGTTTGCCTTTGAAGACATGTACAGTGAAGACAGGAGTAAGTTATTTAGGGGCTGCTGAACGCAGTATCCTAAGTAAGGTGAGACTGTTGCAGTTCCCTGTTGCACGGGTCCAGCCTGCGTCCAGCCAGGAGCAAAGTTGAGTGTGTTCCCAGTAGGCACACGTAGAAAGATGCATATGGATTRCAAGGACACATGCACGTGGCTGGCTGCATGGACCAACACAGAAAGCACAGCCCCCCTGCAAACACAGGAGGGCATCTCCAGTAACTGACCTTAAATACTCAGTCTCTTCCAGCAGCTAGCCCCCTGGTCTTCCATGCCCACATATGCACTGTCACCTGCARATACGTAAAATGGATTCCCCCAATAACTGTCCTTAGTCACGCAGACCACCCAGTAGCTGGGCCTGGATCCCTGCTCACTGGCACCTAGGTTTGCATGCGGCAAACCTGGGATTTGTGGTCCCTGCAGCAGTTGGCACTTCAGCCTGTGTCAGGGGAGGTTTCTGTTCCTCACCTGGGACAGTGGCTCTAAGGATGAATCTAAAGATGAATTGATGAGTGTAAAACCTACACGATGGAGCTGACTGCAGTTAGGGTTCTGGGAGCAGCTGAGTCAGGGTAGTCTGTTTACCTGACTGGGTTATTAGGGTCCTCCTGCCTGTCATCGTTGATCCCTTGTACCCCTTTGTGCAGGTGGAGGGAGGCTTTTACCACAGAATCTTTTATTTGGAAGAATTTGGTATATCATAGTGGAAAACAGCTAGAATCCTGGATCCAAGAGATGGCTAAAGAACCAAACCGTCTGAACTTTGCAAGTCTTGTAATTTGGGGAAAGAGGAAGAAAAAAAAAAAAGGATTAAATCTTTTCCAAAACAACTGTAGATGTTCAGACTTAAGAGTTTGTATAAATGTAGTCTTACAGTGTTGTTTGTTTCAAATGATCATTTTATATTGTTTTCCCTTAATTAGGGATGCAAGGAGACTTGATTTTGCACTTTGAGCCACAGCCGCTACCATCCCCTTCGGAAAGATCTCAAGACAATGAACTTGATGTCACTTTGGAGCACGAAGCTGCTTGTGACACTGGACAAGAATTGCGAGAGACGACAGAGGAAGTTCCTGATGAAACAGAAAGTAAAGCTTTTAAACTTTAAACTTGTATCAAATAGTTTATGCAGTTTATCAGGATGAAATGTTTAACAAGTATGAATTAAAAATTCAAATGTGACTTTTTAATATGTCTTTATTATGCTTAGAATAACTTAATTTCTGTAAAACTCAACTTTTTTGTAGTTATATTGGTTCCTTATGTAGTTAATGTAAATTATGGGGGAATAAAGCTAGGATAGAAGCTTATTTTTTTTTTCTTTTGAAATATTTCAAAGCTGAAGCTTGAGCTTGTATGAAGGTTTACTTACTGTCTGCCCTTTATGTTCGGGTTGGTGACTGAGGTTTTTTTCACTTTGTGAATAAGCAGCAATCATGCATGTGTGTGCACTGTTTGCTTGTGGCATGCACAGGGTAGCAGTGTAAACTGCTCCTTGGAGCTTTGCTCCTTGGAGCATTTTCAGCACATCTGTTTGGTGCTATATCCATTTTTTTGGCCTATGTGATGGCTCGTGTTGCTCTTGCTGAAGCAGAGGGGCCGAAGTGCTACCTCTCTCTTCAACAATAGAGGCTAAGTTTAGCTTAACTGTAAAACACTGTTTAGTTTAGCTCTCCTTTTAGCATGTTCTTGATCAATTTACTGCTCATCTCTTCCAGGTGAGAAAAATAACTTGATAAACTTTGAGAACTTAGTAATTTGTCTGGATGGTTTGTTCAGCTGTGTAAATAGCTAAAGGAATTAATGAGTGCGTGGATTTTTTTGAGAGAGATTATATAGTATGAGGATGAACGGTTACCTACAGCTTTTAAAAAGTGTGTATTTCTCATAGGTAATGAAGAAGGAAAAAATCACCAACCTCAGTCAAAACTTGCCTTAAGGAAGTTGCTGAACAAAATCAGAAGCCAAAAAGAGGAATGGACCTCAAAAAGTGAGAGAGAATGTMAAAACGAAACTGAGACTATTGAATCAGGCACAATTGCTAGTGAAGAGAGACAATTATGTGATGTAGAACTTAACCATGAACAAAATAAAACTTCAGTATCTGCAAATAAAGGTATGGGGTGTTTTTTTTTTTGTTTGTTTGTTTGTTTTAACAAAAAGACTTATGGAGCCTAGCAAAGTTTATTAATGAGTTTTTTAATGTTTTACTGTGTTGCCAGAAAGCAACTAAGTTGCCCTCTCTCTACCCCTGTATCTTGTTTTGTTTAAACAGTGAATTTAAGAGGTTTTTGCTTTTTTTGTCTGTCTTGCCAATAAACCTCTTCTCCAAAAAAAGAGCTCTAAAATACCGTTCCATCTTGAAAATCTTGTKCAGATTTTTATCGTATATGGTCTGGCCATGCGTTAATAGACGTTTACCTTCAAGAGTAGAGTTTCCAGTGGAAAATTTGACATTAAGACTCTATACCAGATCACCTGAAGAAGCCAGATTCTTCAGAGCTTTACAGCTAGAAGTGCTCAAGACAAAAGTGTCTGAAATCCTTTAATTTTTTTTAGCCAGACCCAGCGATTCCTTCAGTCATGTGCACATGGACACACCCGCCTCATTTGCAGGTGTTGTGGTGTAACATAGGTGAAAAAAGGCATTTGGCTCCCCTTGGCCCTTAGGGAAGGTGTGCAGTAAAGTAGGCAGTAAGGGATGAATATCTGCCTTTCCTGCAATAAACAGATGTTTAACCCTTGAGGCCCTCTTTTTTTCCAAAAGGTAAAGTTGTTTCCTTAGATCATTAACAAGATCATTAGTAAGATCATTCCTCAGAATGATCTGGCTAGTAACCTACTGGACAGATTATTCAGATCTGAGCAGATTCCTTTTGGAATGAGTCATCTTGCATATCCAAAGCACATGATAAAGGGCTAGCCAAGGATTTAAATAATCCAAAAATCTGATTCTCTAACTTACAGAGATAGAGTAGGATGTAGATGGAAGTCTCTTTAAAAGCTGCTGATGCTTTTTTTTTTTTGTTTACAGGGGTTAAAATGATGTAAAGAAATATGTGAGAAAGGTTCAAGACCTGCCTCTTTGAAAAGTAACCACTGCTGCCTTCTCTGTAGCAATTGGAAATATTCTAGAAATTAACAGTTAGTTAGTGTTTTATTAGCAGTTAGTCTAGTGTTTTCTGAATTCAGTAATGGAAGTTGTTCCCCAGCTAAAGTGTTCATGTTCCCAATAGTCCTGTGCTTTCAAATTTCAGTGTTACCAGTATTGTCCTTTCTGACTGCATTTATGCTTAATTAACTTCTGTGGTTTTAGACTCCATGGAAATTTTCAAAGATGCAGGTGTAGCTGAAAGTTCAGATCTAATTAATCCTCAAGAACAAGCAGCTAAAAATAGAATGGAAGAGGAAAGGAAAAAATGGGTAAGAGTAAATATAATTATCTTTTTTTTCCATGTCTTAGTTATGATATGAGCATTTTACAGGAGACTGATAAAATGCTCCAGGTAATAAAACAGCTGTAGTTCCTTTTAAAATGTTTGTAGCTTTTACATAAATTTTTACAATATTTTCTATGCTTAAAACATTTGTGTTTTGTAAACTTTTTGAAGTGACTTAGCAGACTCAGCAAGAGCTGGTCCTTGGAACAATGCAGAGCAAAAAAATCGTACACTCCATATGAGAGATTTTACACTCATACAACCTGAGTTTTTMTTTCATAAGTGATCACTCATTGTCTCTCAGAATACTTTAGGGCAATTGTTCATTTCCTCTTTGCCAGCAATTTGATTTCTTTTTCACTTTCTTCCAAAAGGAGAGTACTTTTGCTATGCCTGGATACAAAAGTGATTTGTAACTAATGAGAAACTTAGAAAATTAAAAAATGCTTAGGAGATTTATGGAGTGCTCTTAAATTGTTTGCTTATATATTAGTTATTTCATAAATGCTCCAAGACTTGAATTAAATGCTGTGAGATTCTGAGGATAAGCTCTATAAAATGCCGGGATGCTTCTGAATTCAGAAGTCAAGAGAGGGTGACTTTTTTACACTCTCTGGAGATTCATTAAAAATCTCCAGTCCCCAATGGTTTTATCCATTCTATTAGTTTGATAGCAGACAAGTATGCAATAGAGARCATGGAATACAATATCATATATTCATGGACAATTAGGAATACCTAGCCAGCCAAATGAGTTGTTCTTGTAAGCTTTGGAATTATTTTTTTAAAAAACTCTTAGTTTTGGGGAAATGCCTTCTTCAATAGAAATCTTACTGTATTTGTGACAAACTTTTCTTTATCATTCACTTCTGGAGATTCACCCAGCTTTCTGTTCAACAGAGTGAGCAAATAGAGCACCAGAAACAGGAGCAGCTGGCCTTGCTTAAACAAATTGAAGAAAAGAGAGCGCGTCTGGAGGCTGATTTGCTGAAGATCCAGATCCCCCAGATTTTGGAGGAGGTTAAAGAAAAAGCAAAAGGGGAGGAAGGTCAGCTGGTACAAAACAACAGTCCTCTCCCAGACCAGCAGAAAGACGGGGARGATGAGGTGAAGTATCTTCTGAAGAGTCTTAAGTGTTTTCTTCCTTTTAGTTATTCATTAGTAAAAATCCAGAGAGAGTCTAAGGCTAAAGACTTCATTTTTGATTCTCGGACCGTAAGTCAAAAGCTGCTATACACAATAGCTTCCTTTTGCCTGGAGTAGGGCTATTTTTCATGTGATATCGCAGGACTTTAGATATTAGGTTATCTCTGTGGAGTCTTAAAGACAGCTTATTTATAAAGTACATGTTGGTAAAATCTGATGACTTTGCATGTACTTTTTTCCTTGATCAAGGAGTATGAGAGTATTATTAAAAAAAAAAAAAAGGCTACTTTTGTCTTTGTCTGTATGTTGAACATGAACTATTTTAAGAGGAGGCATTCGGTAATCTTTGTTTTAAATCCTGGGTCCAACTTGTGCTCCCTGTAAAGCATAAAGATGAGTCTATTAGGCTCTTTGTGTTGGATCATTGTTTCTCTAGTTTGCTACTGGACACATTCAGTGCTTTAGCTCCATTTAGCCTTGGGCTCAAATCCCACAGGTTTCAAAGACTGGTGCAGAGTCCCTTCTGTAGGTTTAGGGGAGGAGTAACGTGTTGCTAAGGGTTAATGTTGCTCTAATAGTTTTCTCTGAAATATTTGTATATTTATGCTTTTTTAAAATTTTTAATTAGACTGAAATTACTGCTGCGATAAAAACTGCAAGCCCCAGACAAGCCAGTCATTTACAGATGATTCGTAGTTATCAACAGCGTCTTCTACAGCAAAACAGGTACATTTCAGTGTAAAATGAAAGYCAAATTTGACGTTTTCAAAATAATTTTGAAATGGTTTAATTACCAAAACTGCTCTTTGTCTTTGCAATATTTAATGTGTGTTGATTGTTCTGCTTAGGCTGCACAAACAGACTGTTGAAGAAGCTAGAAAGTGTCTGCAGGAGTATCAGAATAAACTGAAGCAAAGATACCCAATGATGCCAGTCACACCTCTGAGTTGTGCAGAAGCCAAGTCAGTTAGTTTAAAGRTGACCTCAGAACCCATTCTGCAGAAACAAGAAGTGCATCCAGCACAACACCAGTTGTCTGAACAAGTTCATACCCAAGAGTGTGGCCAGTCGCTTCCTGGGAATTCGGAAACGCCGCAGGTCCTTGAAAAACCATCGTCCCCGAAATATGAAGAGCAAAGGCACAATGTTTGTCCTGGTAGGCGCGTGCGGTTTTTGGAAACATCACAATGGGATCAAGGAGTGTTTCACTTGCCATCTAGCTCTTCTTCACAGGAACAAGTGGAAATCTCGGACACCTCTAGTATTCAAGGCAGAGATTTGGCGCGGGTTCAGACCCCTCCAGGGCTGGCCATGGCTTTACAAGATGACCCTGCTGTAGGAACGCAACCAAAAACCCGTACACAACACGTTAGATTTGTTTTGCCTGCAGAAAATTCCTCTGAACCTTCAGGAATATTTGAGCAGGATAAGGAGTTGTCATCAGTCAAGACATCTARCCATCAAACAGAGGCAGAAGCTGTAGAAGAGCCTCCACTTACAGTGCCCCTTTTGTCAGCAACAGAGACACCTGGGGTGGCCCAGGCAGCCTCAAGTGATTCTCAGGAGAGCCACTGGGCACCTGCAGGCAGCAGCATTAAAGCAAGCTTTGAACAACCCCCCTCTCTCTTTCAGCCTCTGGCTTCATCTCATGAGCAACTTAAAGCCCAGGAGTTCTTGATATCAAAAAGTGGAGATGCATCTTTGTTAAGTTATTCTAGTATATTGAATTTAAGGGACAGGGTTTTGGCTTCCTCAGAGAGCATCCAAGCTCAGCAAAAGTATTTGAAAGAACTTCAAGAGCAGCTAGATGCACAAAGAGAAGCTCTTCTTTCTAGACAAAAAATGCAAGAACAGCTACTTATAAAGAAGCAGGATATGCTGAAGGAACAAATGCAGAGACAGCAAGAGGCTTTGAAAGAATTCCTGAACAAGCAAGTATGTGATTTATAAATGCAAATGCTAGTGGGTGATCAAACTCTACCAACTTGTGAATGATTCCATGGAGTGTCGATACTTGGGTGGCTTGCCAAAATAAAAATTTGAATTGGGGGTTCTGATGTGTAATCAGTAGTTCTCTGTTGTGAGACCCCAGAGAGCTGCTTTGTTCAGTTTAACAGAAATACTATAGGAACTTCTCTATGTTTGATGTCAGAACGAACATAATGTTTATAGCAATAGTTGCATTTTTCTGTAATACCATATAAGCAGATATTTGCAGTTTTCTTCAGCTCTAAAAGTGCAGCTTATAGGTAGAGCAGCTCTTCTATTAAGTCTTCAATATCGCAAATGATGTACTAAGCATTTTGAACAGACCATTAAAATGTTCCATCTTTTTAGATGTGCAAACTAGAAAATTGATTTGGAAGGTACGTTCCATTTATAGCTTTATTTATTTTGATATTTAATCTTAGCTATTTCTTGTATGTGCTTATTTTAGGGACCAGGGGAATTTTTTTTTTCTGAGTTGAAGGCTTATTCTGAAGAAGCTCCTTTTTCCCCTCTATTTTTAACTGAAACAATCTTAAACAAAATGTTTTCTGCTTTTGCGGTCTTCAGACAGCTAAAAATATCTGTTGTCAGTAATGGAAAACAAAGCGTACTTTTCAAGAAATGTTCCTGTTAAAAACACCTCTTATTCTGATGTAATCCTGCAATGGCCTTCAATACATAACTAAGAGGTATTAGTCAGCTGGGTCCATGGAACTAAATACTTATCTGCCCAAATGCTTTTGTAAGGTGAGCAAGTCTGTCCAGTACCTGAACTTGCCTCTTAAAGTACTCAAAATTTTCAGCACTCCAGGGAATGCCCCCCGAAAGGATTGCTGGTTTAAGAAATGAGTGTTATGTGGAATTTTTATATGCAGTTGCTTTCTTTTAAGGTGAGACAGTTCAACACAAATGAAGTGACATGGGCAAAGCCCAACGGTCTGACTGACTTCTTGCAAACCTCAGAAAACCACCAGCTAGAGAACTGTGAAACAAGTGAGTTTCATGAAAATTAAATGATTTTTACCTCAGTCCAGCTGGGCACACTGGTAAAGCTGTGTAACTTCTTTCATTGTGATAGCTTTTTTTAGTTAAGTGTTTTTCCATCTCCTCAAATTGTTTCAGTAGATACATTATTGCAGTCTGCTGGGGAAATCTGAATTCACAAAACTTTTATTTTACAGAGGAGCCTGAGAAGCTTGGATGTAAAGGACAGAAATGGAAATCTTCCAAACCACCTCTGGCAAAAGTCAAGCTAGGTCTTAATTTGGAGCAGCATGAACTTAGTGTTATACCAGAAGCAGACACACCAAGGAGCTGCAGCATTTCTTTTGCAGGTAAAATATATATTAGATTTTTTGTTTTGAGAAATACAGATTGGAGTACAACAACAAAATCTAATCTTCAGAGTCTATAAGGTGATAGATCATGAAATATTTGATACTGTTGCCTTTACTGTAGCTTTTTTTGATCTATATRTATTTCAGCAAAATGTGAGCTGTAGTTGCAAGAATCTTATCCTGTCGAGTATATATATCTAGAAAAAAAATCACTGAGAAACAGTCAAAACATTCACTGAAAATGGAATTTGCCATTTTGGCAGTGTTTAACTTTTTTCTCCTCTTGGATAAAATGAGCAGAGCCTGTCTTAAGTATTTCTGTAAGAGTAAAGATCATGTATTCTGGAACTGATTTTAAAAGGGAATGCACTTATTCATGCCCTGTTTAATTTGAGGGTTTAATCGGATACCTGCAAATTTGCCTATCAATTGAAAGAAAAGAAAGAAAACATTAAGAGTTGATAGATGGGTATTTAAATGTTTGGAGCACACCTAGAAAGTAAATGTGAAACCTTATAATTAAGGAATTAGTATCAGGGGGCTGAAGAAATACTTTAAAAGTGTAACTTTACGTAGCTACTGGCATATTCTAAGTATTTGTGCATACAGTGCTGTGTGTTTCTCTGTGGAACATTAAGTCTAAGATGGATAACAACATAACACTTTTTAAATATACACATTTATTCCTCCCCACTCCATGCATATATTGGGAAGTTCTAGTGTTGTGCCAGGCTTATTTAAAACGATAAGCAAAACAACCCAAGTAATTACCAGCCTGTCAGGCTGGCATTGATCTTGAGCAGAATAATGAAACAGCTGATGTGGGACTCTTTCTTAATTAAAGAAGAGTAATTAATGCTAGTCAGCATCATTTTATGCAGAATGATTCTTGTCAAACCAATTTGGTGTCTTGATTAGATAAAAGTTCCAGTTGGTGGTGTTTGATTGAATACGTTTGCACTCRTAAGGTATTTGATTTAGTATCACACATTTTCATTTTGAAAAACAAAGTAAATAAAAATCAAAGTATGTAGCAAACTTGAGTTTTTAATGGGCTTGTGTGGTGAGAAGGGATTACTGTGACCTGTGATTGTATAAGTAAGGGAGATTTTCAAGGAGAGTCAACAAGAATTTCTATTGCTCCTGAATTTAGGAATGATGCAGCTGTTTCTGAAATGTGATGCTTAAGTGGTGCAAGTGTCCACAGTTCAAAAAGGACACTGCGAAAAACAGGCATTTTAGAGAGTAATCATGAGAATTACTCAATCAAAAATATACCTTATCAAGAGAATTAGTAGAATCCATTATGTTGAGATATCACAGTCTCTGTAAGTTATYTGGGAAATGAAAATGTGATTATGACTTCTTCTTGGCTAGTCAARGAATGATGCTGACCCTTGGTGAAATAGCCAGAAGTTTTGGTGGATTTACTGTTCAGAAAACCTGTCAGTGGGATGGATTTTTTGTTTATTGGTATTTGTGTTTTTTTATTAAGAATGATTTATTTAAGAATTACTTTTTGAGAAGTCCTGTGAAATCTGAGTCTGAACCACTACACAACAGCTGTTTCCGTTGTTTGAAGAGTTTAAGAGTATTATCTTTAATAAAGTGGAGCACTGTACAAATTCACCCTGTGTGAATAGTAAGCCCATCTTAATGTATTCACTAAGTGCAAACCACTTCCTTTCTATACCTAAACCCATTATGAATGTGTTAAACTCAGATAAAACAGATTCTGCTCGTGGAGAATCTCTTCCCGTTTCGCCTGTCGGGGAATTGGCCTGTGCCAGCTGCTACAGTCGCGCTCTGCATGGAGATGGCAGGTTCCCTGGAAGCATAGCAAGCTGTGAAGAACAAACCTCCAGTGGAAGTCTACAGGAAAGTGAACACTCGGGTAGGTTGTTATGAGATGCTGATGACTGAAAACTTGTATTGTCCAGGTGAGGAAATCCTTCCTCTATTTCTATAGGAAATCCATCCTCTTGATACTGCTTGAAACTCCACTCCCTCTTCCCTCAGTCTGAACATTTTAAAATTGTATCTTGAGATATCCTTTTTAATTTGATTAAGATGGGAAATTGAAGTCAATCTTCAGTTGCTTCCTTTAACTCTCAGGATCTTTTTGAAATTATCCTTAAGACTTTCTGTAAAAGCTGGAGAAAATGCTTATATTTTTGCCTGGGTTGTAGAGGCGTTGCCAGACTGGCAGTTATACAGTTCATATAAAACTAACTTGCTGTAGTGTCTTTTTTCCATTAGTGATTTAGGGACAGTAATTTTATATAAAAGGATTAGGAAAATTCATGTGAAAATTAAAGGGGGACAGAATCCTGTACTGAAGAATGAATTGTTCAAGGGGACAAAAAATAATGAAAATACTGCCAGCAGTATGATCATCAAATTTTAAAGTACTTCATGGTCCCTTCTGTAACTTATTTGGTATCTTCAGTAGAAGATGATCTTTAGCATGAATTGAGCTTAAAGTTTTTGGAAAAGGTGAGAGTGCATTTTGAGGGGTAAGGTGTGATTGTATGAACTTTTTTGTACTTTATTCTAACCAAACCATGTTTACAGTTGTGTGTGGTTGTTTTTTTCCAAGAGAAATAATTGTATCTTAAAGTTTATTCCTTAATGAAGAAATCAACCGAGTGCTTTATTCATGTGATCTTGATCATCATCTTTGAGGTGGCCTCTGTGATGGTTTAGATATAGCTTTGCAACACACAAGTTGTACTGCTCTTGTCACTGCAGAACTCCTAGGTTTCCTTTTATCCTATTAAATTGTGCTGTGTATTTTCCAGAGTAAGCATTAAGAATTATATGAAAAAGATAAAATCTGCACAGGATTTAAATTGTTGTAAAGAAACTTTGTAAATCTACTTAGATGCTTTATTGATAAAAGTGTTTTCTTGGGTATATAAGACTTGTCATTGGGCACTAGGCAAAATAGTTTTGGAGCTGTTTTTTCCTSTGAGTATAACAAGAAGAAAAATAATTTCAGGCTTCTTAAATTTAGGGGCAGACTGTAAAGGGAAGGATAGGTCTTAAGGGCTGCTCTGGTGGAATAAGAATGAATCCCYGCCCTTGGTGTTGAGTTGGTGGCAAGTGCTGTGTGACCAGCTTGGCTGCAGAGGACAGAACTGCTGAACTGATGCTGCAGTATCAGCTCTGACAGCACTGATTTGGGTTGCCCTCTTCTGCAGGGCCACTGATGTCTTAAATGAGTTAGGAACTTAAAAAATGAGTTAAAAAATGTCTTAAAAATGAGTTAGGAACTTAACATCTTTCAGATTCTCAGCCCAATTTGGTTAAAATGGGCTAATAGAATATATATTGTTAGTAGGGAAATGCAGAGTAACTCTACAAATGAGGCAGGCCCTTTGACTGCGTAATTCTCATTTGCTGAGGAAATCAGTCTGAAAGCAGTGGCTAGATGTGCTGTACAAGGCAGAACTGGGGAAGCAGATGTATATCTCAGTAAAGCTTTCCCTCAGAATTCATCTTCCTCTTGCAGCCCCCTTGAGTCCTTTCCAGCTGTGATCATCTTCAAGTGCTGCCACCCTACCCAGAACTATTATGCCATGCCTGGTAGCTTAGCTCGAATTGGGCAAACCCCGCAAAGATTCCATTTGTTTTTCCRAATCCTCAGTATTTGTCCATAACTGACTATTGCACCAGAGCAGTAGTTATCCTTTGTGAACATAGCAGACTAGCGTGGAGTTCATCTGTTGACATAATTCTTTATTTGTATCCCTGCTTGCGTTTGAACTAATCCTTGTTTTTCATTATCTTCACTGAGTGATTCATCACTGAGGCTTTTATCTTCTGAATTGCACCCAGAAATAATTGCTGCTCTCTTACTGCCWTTTCCACTGAATAAATTGCATTCTGGATATTTCGGTGTCAGGTTTTTAATGGTTTGTTTGTCCTAGTGCAGTGGCCAAGAGGCTAAAATACGAARGTGCCACCTAGAAGTCAAGCTTCTCAAATAAGAATATTGCATTATTATTTTAGAGAGAGGAGGAGAAGAAAAGAAAATCTCTTCAAGTTACCAAATATTAAGTTTTTTAGGGTTATTAAAATAAAATGTGCTCATATCTCACAAGTTTAACTTAGAAATCGCTAATTAATTTGCYTTATAGCATGAAACAACTACTGCTCATCCCTTTATTAATATCAAAGGAACAGTATGTAGTAATAAAAGACATTTGTAATATAGCTTTACGTAGAATTTAAATAAAAGAGGATTAGATGCTTTAATCTCTTCTGTATTCTGAAGTTATTATCTGTCACTCTAATGTCTTTTATCTGGCAAACTAAAGCACTTCTTTCAAAAAAACCCTCTCCTGTCTTGATTTAAAGACATCAAAAAACAGAGAAATTATTATTTTATGTGGTAACTTGTGTTCATTTTCTTTATCACGTTTTAAAATAAATGCTCTATTTCCTGCCTCAGYGTGACTGGCGGTCACTTCTAATCATTGCTCCTTGTCAGGACTTTGAGTTTAATAAATGTTCTATCTTGTGCTTTCTCCAGTAGAAATATTTAACTGTCGAGAGACGTGACTGCAGTTTTGCTGATGGAATTTTTTTCAAGGCCTCAGTCGTTTTCATGGTTTTCTCCTGCTGTCCCATATTTGGCTCCAAAGAGCAGCAGACTCTGCCATGTTTCTGCTCTGTTCTTGCTGCCATGCACACRCAGGGAGCTCTGTCCCTTGTCCCACATGGGTTTTTAGGTGTTTTCTCCAAGGGCCTGAAGAGCTGTGTCAAACACTGGAGCAGAAGAAGGGTTTGCACTCTCCCCCTCTGCAGGGAGGGGAGCATGTTTGACAATTTATTTAGCCTTTACTTGGAGTTCTGTCAGTGTTTAAGGTAATAACATATTAATGTTAATCCATATGAATTTATTTTAGATGTTATTTCCATTCATTTCTTGTACTGTCTCCTGGAAGAATATTAGATGACTGTGGCTATAGAAAACCCCTTTTCTTTAATTTCATGTTACCTGATTGCTTGAGGTCTGTAGGTATCACATCAGAAAGATTCTTATCTTGTGCCACCTTACAAAGGAAATACTTCCCGCAAAAGAACTATTTCCTGCTTTATTTGTACTGTAGGAAAAATGGAACATTTACTTTCTTACTGGAAGATGGAGACTGAGGTGGTTTAATGCAAGCTACAAATTGCTGCCAGCAGATCTCAGTGTTTTGTTAATTCCACAGGACAGAGCCTTAGAGTGCTTGGAATTCGAAATGTCTCTGCCATCAGCAGCCCCTATAGAACTGGAAGAAAGCACATTAGCTTCTATTGTTTATCTTAATTTCTACTTGATACTTAATACTGCTTTTCTTGRGAAATATTACCAGTGAGAGTATTACTTTAGAGTTATTTACTGCAGGAAAATTAATCTTTGCAGCAGGAGTCAGGCTGCAGTGAGATATCTCGGCGTGCCTGATTTTTATGGCTTATTTTGTGTGCTTTTCTACTCCTCTCTATCATGGCAATGCTTACCAAGCCCCTTTCCCTGCTAACCACTCCAACTAAAGAATTATGCTAGCACAACCAAAGCCATAGCTCCTCCTGCAAATAATCTGATTTTACTCTGCATTTTCTGCATAAGGCAGTAAAAATTGTCAGAAGGCTGGTTAAGGAGGGTTACCTTACCTGCTAAATCGATGTTCTCCTACTGCTACAGGGGAGCAGGATAAGCTTATGAGTTTTAGGAAAGAAGTGTGAGCATAAGGCACTGAAGGCAGCAATGCAAGAGTGTTATTGCCACCTCGTGTTCACAAAGAAGAAAACAAAAGTTAGCTCTGAAAAGTTGTTTTCTCTTCCTGACTGCTGCTGTTGCCTGTGTGTTCAGCCCGGCCCCAGGGTTCTCCTGTGACTCCGGATTTGCCAGTTCTGGCTGCTGAAGTTGGAAACGGAGGCGTGAGCCCTTCTGGAGCATCGTTCCGACATCACGATATGGTTAGTCCTGTCAAAGTAACCACACAACATCATCTGCTTCTTATTGCAGATAAATCCATCRTGAAATATGAATATGGTGCACAAAAATGAAAAGTATGCTGTGTATTTGCTGCTGTTAGTTACATGTATGAGAATGGGATCTTATATTTCCAGAAGGTTCCAGCAGATGTATAAAGCTACTTGAATCATGGGATAATTCAGGCTGGATGGAACTTGGGGAGGTTTCTAGTTCAAGCAGGGTCAGCTCTGAGAGCAAACCAGGTTATTCTGGGACTTATTCAGTGACTTTTGAGGCTGGAGGTTGCCTAACCTCTCTGCGCAGCCTGGTGGAAGGGTCCTGCAGGTGGAAGGGGTGCTGCTTACGCAGGCGGGACGTCTGCTCTTTTCGTTTGTGTTCACTGTCTCTCTTCTTCCTGCCATGCAGCACTGAAGTGCCTGGCTCCATCTTCTCAGTTAGCTTGTGGGCTGCTGCTAGGCCTGTTCCTCCCGGCCATCTCATCAGGCTCAACAGGCCCAGCTCCACTAGGCTCCTCTTTTGCAGGGCTCTTTGCCAGGCATTTTGTCTCCAGGCTGGACTGTTTCGGAATATTCCTTCTTCCCTTTTGCAGGACTTTGTATTTGGCCTTGGAGAATATATGTTGCCCCTTCTCCCAGCTGAGGTCTCTCTGGGTGCCTGCCATGCCCACAAACCTGCCAGTTGCTCTGAAATGTTTTCAGAGGCGTCTCTCCCTTCTCCCCAGCTTGGTGGCATCTTCAAACATGAGAGCAGATTCTGTCACCTCCTGCAGGTCGTGCATGGCCAACCATGTTAAACAGGACAGGGCTCTAAGTAGACCCTGTGGTGCTCTTGCATCATCTGCAGATCCAGTCACTTTATCAGTAGATGCCAGTAGTGTTTACCAAGTCATGTGTTTATGCTTATTTAAAAAGCCTGGGTTTCTTAGATTACTTGTCCCTTTTCTTACTCTTCCTTAATTTTTTATTTTCTAATTAAAAGATTTGAGAAAGGTGTGCACACTTTTCATCCCTGTAAACTTGGAAGTATAAGAACCCCCATTCCATGCTTTCTAGAGCTTACCCATGAAATTAAGGAAAATAGAATTTTTAGGGCATTTTCTGGATACTTCTAGTCATAAAGTGAAATTCAGACAAATTTAACTCTGTCTCCTGAATGCAAAAGGCATCTTGCAAATGCTTGTGAAATTCTGGGAGCTTTCAGGTGTTGTAGCTGTATCCCTCTGAGATCCACAATTCTGCTGAGTGGGTCCGTGATGAGAAATAGCCAAATCTGAGCACCAGAGGATAAACTGATCTTCCGGGTGCTGTGATTTGTACACCGTTCTGAGAAGCTTAGGAGGAGTTTGTGGATGTGGGGGTGTGTGTGGGCAGGTGGGTGCTGGGTGGAGGGTGGGAGCGAGGGAGGGAGATGCCTGAGTGTGGATGTGAATGTTCGTGCTGAGCAAGGATGATCTGTGCTGTTGCCTGACTTAAAATGAAGGCTTCTACACTTGAACTGAGCTCAGAAAAAAGTGAGTGTGTGTTCTAAGCTTGAACCATAGACAACTCAATATATGATACTATATATTATTTATACTATTCCTATATGTTCTTTCCTCCCTAGGGAATACTTTCTAAAGTACTATCCACAAGCTTCAGTTCAGAGGCTTTCATGGAAGGGGGACCTTGTGATTCATCTTCAACAATTTCCACTGGAAGCTTTTTAACTAGTGAAATATTGGATGCAGGCCCTGTTGACACTGGTAAATTCCTTTTCTCTTTTTCAAAATGGAAAACTCCACGTCCTTTACCTTATTTTATGGGAGAATGAATCTAACTCACTGAACCTAAGTTCCTCTCAAAGATTGGTATGAAACTTTGCTTAAGAATAACGTGCCCTGCAGAATAGAGTGCAATTGGATTACAGGCTCTCTGTGCTTGTGGTTTTTGATTTGCATAATGATTTTACCTAAGGACCTATTGACTTTGGCAAAGGACATTTTGAGACTTAATCAGCAGCTGTAAAACTAACCCAAGAAGATGCTCATAGAAGTTTTCTGATGCGTATAGAGTGTATGTTGTTGCACAACTGAAATTCTTGTGTTGTTGCTAAGAGTATCATTCTGATATATCAGCTTAAGTGTCAATAATGCAAGTAAAACTTCTAACTTGTTTTTGAAAATAATGCCACTTTAATGCCTCATTGGCATCAATCGTTTTCTGCCAAATATGTTCCTGTCCCTTTTTTACTTTTAGCTCATCTCTTGGCCTTAAGCTGTTTTCTTATATAATAAGAATAAATTTCACAGAGTACTATATATAATTAGATATTACCAACTTAGGTTTATGGAAATTCCTGGTAAGATTTGTGGGAGAAATGATAGGCCAGAGTTAAAGAAACAAAGGCCTAAAGCTGCTAAGAATATTTTGGGGTAGGAAACAGTGTCTTCTCAGATGAGTTTATACAAGTGAATACAAAACTGTCAATTCCTGACTTTTTATTTCAGGATTATCTTCCTGTAGCACAGAAGATCAGATGTTGGGGGAAACAACAAGCCACCCTTGGAACTCCCTGTTGTCTTTTAACATGCAGGGGAGGCGAGAGCTTTTTTCTGCAACATCTGGAGATGCAGAAGCATCATCAGCAGACAATGCTCCTTTCCAAGGTAATTACCATCTAAGAGCATATCTGTGTGTTGTGCTCTCATACAGAATGAGATGAATTAGTCAGCATTATTTGTTAACATCAGTTATTTATGTTCAGTTTATGTTTTATATTATAGCCAGTGAGGGTTTTCTTTCTGGTTCTCCGTGCTTATCACTTGTATATCTACAAATTCTCTCTAATCATGAAGATGTTATACAGACATTAATAGTGTTTTATTATTCAAATAGGGTCACATAATTTTTGAAACACTGACAGACTGCTGTGAGTTCTGGAGCATATAGAAAGAAGGTGGTGGTGATTCATGACACTTTCAGCTATTATATATTTAAATACATTATCTTGATTTGAAGCACTTTCTCTTGGAATGTTTTAAAATCTGTAAACACAGAACTGTAGAATAATCTAGACCAGAAAGGAGCTCTGGTTTTGTAGTTSAGATGGTCCTTTCCCCTGGAGCTGAGACAACTTAGAAGGTTGGTTAAGTCATGTAATTAAGTCTGGCCCAGGCGTGTTATGATTATCTCAAGGATAGAGATTCCACACGTTCCTGGGCAATCTGGTTAACCACCTGCAAGACTAGTTTGTTTTTTTTTTCTTTATGTCTAACAACTGTGCTCCAGCTTCTGTTCGGTGTCTTATTCTTTCCTTGAGCATGTTGAAGAATCCGGCTGTGTCTTCCCCTGGCTGTCTGTTAGGATGTTGTGGGCAACTGTGTGTTTTCTGGGCCTCCCGCCACCCCAAGGAAGCCTTTTCTTAACACTGAGTGAAGCTGCTTTAGCCTCTTGAATCCCTTGAATCATCCCTTGCCTTTCACTGAGGTCCAGATCTGGCTTGTGATGGGAAGCAAGGAACTGGGCCATGATACTCCAGATACAGCCCCTGAAAAGACTGCCTCGGGACCTCAGCTGTTTATCTAAGAACTGAATCAGGTTCTTTATGGCTCTTCAGACTTGCATTGTATCAGAGAGAAAGTATTAAATGTAATCTCTGTTTTATTTTTTATTTTTGCGGTATATTATTTGTATACTTACAGAATTCTCTTTGCTCTGTTGATTACATCTGGAGGCCATGTGTGAGATCTCCATTTAGTAAAAATAACTCTTTTTTTTTGTCATAGTTCCAGCTGTGGAATTTGATTTTCCTGCAGTGGAGAGACCCGTTGCTAACTTCCTTCACCAGCACTTCCAGCCTCTGGAGCCAAGTCTTGATTTGGATCTCTCACCTCTCATTCCACAGAACAACATTTCAGGAGACAGCAGGGAACTTGGCAAGGTACTGTAAAGAAAACTATGGTGGAGGAAATACTTGTGCTTAATACTTACACAAGATTTCAATATGTAATCTCTGCTGTACTCTGTTCAGAATAAGCACAATAGATACATGTAGAATTGGTAGCACTTTTGATGTTTGTAGCTGAAACATCATCCAAAGAGCATATTGACGTTATTTTTCTGTCCTTCATTTTCCTGAGGAAAAAATTGATCTCAATTAAGACTCTTTTGATGTTAGGCTTCAAGATTTTCAAGAAAAAGTGAGAACACAGCTGTGTGTGTAGAAGGCAGAGGCTCCAGCTGGAACATACACAGAAGCAGTCTCCCTTCTCGTGTAGGAACAAGCAAGTCGGCCCACACTGCATCAGAGCAAGAGCCCGCGGCAGAGAGTGTCACCCTGGGTATGTGTCACCCTGGGCATGTGCAGTGCAGCTACATCAATATTTCAGTATCAAACCTTTTCTGCTACCTGGGGTTTGGGTGCTGTGTTGGCATTGGTTGCTTCTCACTTTCAACCTTATGCTGAAGTGTCTTAGGTCTGCTTTGTTCTCCTACACACTTCCTTCCCCAGCATTTTTAATGGTTTATCTTGTAAATTTGTGAAGTTCTTTATTTACACAAGTTAGGACTATTATAAAAGCAGATTTGCACCTAAGCTACTCCAGTGCATGTTTTTTATTATTTACTGTGTGCAGTAATTGTAGTGTTAGTAAAGTGCCAGGAATTAAATTTGCTCAGCTACTTCTCCTGCTCTGTGGTCATGTGTGTTCCTCATTATTTTAAGCCTGAAGAAGTTGAGAGGAACCCATAAATTGAGTCAATAACTGGAGCATGTACGTTAGACTATGTCTGTTATCTTCTCGTTCGTTTTTCTTTTATACATGACATTCCTCAAGAATTCCTTTTCTGCTCTTCAGTTGCACCAGTAGTAATGATGTGCTGTTTGCTGAGACATCTGTTTTGACTGAATGTGGAAAAATTGCTTCATCCACAAAATAGTGATGAGGAAGACATGAAGTTTTAGATGATAATTTGATTCAGTAGCTTAAAAATTTATGATCTGACAGCAGCTGGAAAAGTTACCTGCGGCTCATAGAGGAGAAAGGTGTTTTTATATGTTGTGTAGTTGAATTAAATTTCAGTTATCTTGGTCTTCCATCTATACTAAAGGAGGAACCAGTCTGTAATTTCAAATGCAGTTAGAGGTAACCTGAATATTTTAAAGACTTATTTRCCAAGATCCAGGTGTTTTGATATTGTAAAGTCCTCTACTAAAAGGCTGATGAAGCATCAGGAAATGCAGCAATATATATATTGATCATATAAAAATTCCTAGTTAATTATCTTGTTTATTTGAGTGGATGTGCATATAACTTCTGTAAAAATGCCCAAAAGGACTTATACCATGAGACCACTACCTGTGGTCACAGTAAATATGATTTAAGAAGCTCTTTCCAGCTTGAGGATGTCATTCACAAGTCGCTCATAAAAAGTCAGTGTGCTTTAAATGTCATTACAGTATCTCATCCTCAGATGAGTTTCTCATCTCTTAATTGCTTTGGGAATACAAAATACTTGTATTAAAAATTAAGAAAGGAAATTACTTCTAGTTGTCATTTTGAGCAAGGATGATATTTAGTGCTGTCATCTGGAGAATTTTCTAGTGATGGCTGATATTGCAGTGCAGTCTCTTCCCTCCCAGTTTGCTGTCCCTTTAGATTTTAATGCTTTAATTTGTTAGGTGACAATTCCTTATCCTTTGTATATGTGAAACCAGATGTCTTGTATGTGTGTCAAAGAAAGTAAAAATGTCTTTAAAGGAGACCCTTAAAGAATTATTTTGTATACAGCTGTGTTTAGGAAAAAGCCCAACAGCAGCGTGAGGCTGGAGGCCATGTAACAAACCATGCAAACTGCTTGTCAAAGGAGTTATGACTTATGTGAAGGAAATATATGTATTAAAAAATGTGGGGTTTTTTTGCTTGACAGATGCTGTGGTGTTGAAATGTATCCCCAGTAATTAAAACATGAATATTTTTCCTCCATTCTCAGCCTTCTGGAAAAGTCTCGATTTGTATATGTAGATTGTAAGGGAAGGATGAGTGAGTTACTGTAACCTTGGGAAGAGGAATCCAGCCAGGGGCCTGATTTGGGTTTCTTCTGCTGGGATGTGTTTCTGCATAAGTTAGGGTGATTTTTTTGCCCTATTTTTRGATATTTTGTTGGAGACCTAAAAGGGTCTCAATGGGCTTCTGCTTACAAAGTGTATATTGGTACAAATTCACTGTCTTTCAGTATAGTTATGCCAGCAGGATGAGAAAACTTGGTCCTAATGCTTCCTTAGGAAGCAACAAAAATGCTTTTTCTTGAAGTTTTTACCTACTCATAGAGTGAATAAATTAATGCAGGGAATATCAACATTAGTGAGATTGCTTGAACAAGGTATTTTAAACAGAACAGGTTCTTTTAGCAAAATGTTACTTCCTATTTAATAGATTTCTTTCTATACCTTACTGAAAAGTCTGGTTATGCAGGGTTCTTTTAAGCTGATATTCTGTTGTATTAAGTTAGTTTTGACTTAATATTTTTGAAACAGGATCTGAGGAATCTTTCCATCCAGTGCAGCTGGAAGGCACTGAGAGCGATGGCTGTCATGGCACTGAGGAGCAAAATCCCAGGATTATAAACCAGGAGGCTGAGACCTGGRATTCACCTGCCAGGCAATATGAAGAACTGGCAAGAAACATAGAATCCCTTAACCTACAGAGTGCAGTGGAAGAGCTGCGAAAGGAAAGTCCAAATTCCCTGCAGGAACAAAATTCTTTTTATCAAGAGCAAAGATCATTTTATCAGCTAAACACCACACCGGCTGCAATGGATAAAACTSTGCCTGAGCACTTTATAAAAGAGGATGCAGCATTTGAAAAAGAGACTTTGTGCTCTGGAAAAACACCCGCTGARGTGGCTTTTGAGGAATATGTGAAACTTGCTGAAAAATCAGTTCATGGAAATGAAGGAAATAAAGCCGTGGAAGTGGCTTCCCAGTGGGACATCAATACGAAGAAGAGAGCTCAAGGCTCTCCAGAAACACAGAAATCCTCCAGGCATCCGGTTGCACCTGACTTGGACACCTCAGACATCAGCTTACAGGCTGGTGTACAACAAAATGGTTCCTTTCTGGAGAGATATAAAAAAAGCTCTAATGCTGTTCTTARAGGCTCTGGTCGTGTTCCAGTGTGGGTGAGTAAAGCTGGGATTTCTAAATCCCAGTTTTATGGGTATGGGATGATGGATAATTTATGCCGAGCTTTAACTTAATACCAAGCTATTTTAGACCTCCAGTATCTGAAGACTTTGCAAGCCTTTAATGGACAGTTTTAGTCTGAGACTTGTGTGTTCCCTGGAATTCTGCCCTCCTCCTCAGCCCTTCAGGTCATACCATTAAACTAACAGCCACGAAAGAAAACGGGATTTACTGTGACCGCTGCATGAGCTCCAGCATCTCCAGTCCAGCTCCCTCTGTTAACATCAGTGGCATTAACATTAATGTTGGCCTCTGTTAGCATTTACATGGCAGAACCATTCAACAATGTTTGTCTTCAGTTCAGTAGCCTGAAGGAAAGAAAACTATTTAAGGAAAGGATAAACAAGTTTAAGAGAATACATTTTTTTTTCACATTTAGAAAGAAAGTTTACCCTGCAACTAGATTTCCTCGGTTAAATCTGAGGTTAGACAGAGGGAGGTGAGTTGTGTCAGTTTTGGGTTTGTTTTGTACCTTTTTTTGCATTGATGTTTAAAATGGGTTAGTTTGGATGGTGTGTGATTGATTGCTTATGTGTTGGTGCTGTCCTGTGTCATTTATTCCCCAGGAGACCGAGTCAGGCCGGGGCATCATGGARGAGCCTGAGCTCACGCTGACGAGCTCCAATGACATCAGCATTGCAGAATCAGACGCTGAACACACRAGCCAAGGGAAAGCTCAAGACGGCAAAATCAGCAACCCAGCATGTGCAGACCAGTCTGAATTCAGTAATTTTCCTGAGGTGCATTTTGATTATCTAATATAATTCTGGTTTTGCATTGATGCTTAAGAGGAATGAGGAAAGGCCCCGTTTAGCAGCTGATAACAGTGTATTGTGAAATGAGGAATGTTGGAGCTGCCCTAGGTTGGGAAGTGCTGCTCTGTCCTGTTCTGATGCTGTTTTGCAGACAGACCTGCTGCAGTATCGCTGCTACCTTGTGTCACTGGGTGGGCTTCTCAGGAGAAGCAGAACCACCTCACAGATGTGTCCAAGACTAAACTAACCCCTTARCTCAAGAGCTCAGGGAGTGGAGAAGGTGGCACAGAACAAAGCTGCAAAGTAGATGGGAATAACACAGCCCCCTGACTAGAGCTGAACTGACCCACATGGGGTTTGTGTCGGGCCCATGCCAGTGGAGCAGCGCTGCCATCTCACTCCCTTGTGGGGGGGTTTTAAGCATTTTCAACCATATTTATTTATTTATTTATTTATTTATTTATTTATTTATTTATTGAAACAGGAGAGGGAATTTTTACCGTTGTCTCCAGATACGGATTATTCAGTTTTCAAAAGGCCAGACGGATCTTTCTGTGCCCAGAGTTCTGATGAAGGTGAGTTTCCATCACATCAGCCTGCAGGCTGTACAACCTAAATAGAATGTACAAAGTACAACCTAAAYAGAATGACTTTGAGATAGATAAGGTCCTAAGTGCATAACTTAGAAATTGTAAATAAAATAGATAAACCTGTCCTCCCACCCCAGGGTTTTCTCTCGCCTAAGTCCCGGCTGGTAATTGGCTTAGTTTGGACTGTACTGCGCCCACATTTAATGTACGTCTTTACTTGTTTCTTGCAAAGACAGGCTATTTTTCCTTCATTTTCATAACTACATTTTTTTAATATATATTGCATTGTAGCTAGTTAATAGTTAATTTGTGGTATTTGGTGTGATTTGTCATCACATCCACAAGCACCTTGATTTTTTTATTCCCTCTTAGTCACTAAGCTCTGTACCTAAGGGAAGCCACATTTCTATTCTGGTAATGATATGGATCATGTGGAAATACTTTGGTCAAGATGGGCAGCAGTAACAAGGGCAGGAATTGACAAAATGTTCCCCTTGGGGAGGAGGAAGGGAAATTCTCAAGTCTTTTGTGTATTTTCAGGGATTAAGATACTTTTCATGTAGTATTACAGTGTTTGTCTTGGCAGTGCTGTTTACAGTTACTCCAGTTTGGTAAATGAATTGTTACTTTATTTTTTTTTCCAAAATTCCTAGTTATTTATAATACCATTCTCGATATAATTTATAAAAACAGTCAAGGTCAGTGTTTTAGACGAAACAGACTGCAGTCTGTGGTTGGAAGTGGTAGTGCTCTTCACTGGACACTTTCTCTTTCTCAGCGACGCCACTGGAGTTTCCTTCTGCATCAGGAACTTTGCAAGAATCTTTTTTGAAAAGAAAGAAAGATTTCATCCAGAAATCTCAGAGGAGAGTAGAAGAAATAAAAAGTAAAGGGAGAAAAAACGGAACAGTCGAAGCTGGACAGTTGCAGAGGAGAAAGACTGCGATGTTAAGCAGACCAAAGGCAGCCTCTCCCACCTCCGGTAGGTTTATCTGGGGACAAGACAGAGCTTTAAGGGYCCTCTTTGCTGCTCTTCTCTAGCAAACAGTAGATTTCACTCTTGTTGCATCTTTGCTTTTGCAGATTAAGATGTTGGATAAAGTTTTTCAAGAGTGTGGGGAGCTTCCTCTTCACTGCCTGTGTAAATGCTCACATCCCTTCTCATTTTTACAGTCTGTCCACATGATTACAGCCCCATGTCTCTGTGCAAATAGTTGTTATCAAACAAAAACCCTGGTAAGTGAATTAGAGCTGCCTCTCCTCCAGTGTCTGATGTGCTGGAAGTCTGTTATTGAGGAGCATGGCTTGCTACGATTCAGACCAGGAGCCAAAATGAAGATTATTTTTAACAGAAGACTCTCTATTGGGTCTGTTCTGCTCCCTATTTCTTTTTTATAGTGCTGTCTTAAAACAACAAAATTACTACTTCTTACTATTATACATTTGAAACCTTTAATGATTTTGAGTTTTGTTACAGTGAAAAAAAAACTTAAGACTGTTACAGTTATACTACTGGTCAGTCCTAGTGTTAACTTTGTTAACAAGTAAAGCTTTACTGAAAAAACAATCCAGTTTTCTACAAATAAATATGTGTATATACATATGTATGTATATTTTAAATGGTGCTTTGGTTTTCTTTTTCCTTTTAAAAGAGAAGGGTGCAGCTACCACTCGGTTGAAGAAAGTAGGAGAAGTTCAAGTGTCTTCCCCAGCAGACCGGAAGGCTGCAGCAGTTGAAATGTCCCAGCGAACTTCCAGGTATCCTGACACAAGTCGGGGAAATTGGGGCAAAAAAAGGACTGGTGGCTTCTGAGGACTGCTGGCCTAGATCCCACTTCATTGTTATCCACCTGGATTCCAGCAGTTGCTCTAAGCTCTGCCTCTTGTTTCTTGAAGTTGGTGTAAATTTGAAGAGAAGTTTGTAATTCCCTTTAGTTACTGCAGGGTTACAGCTCATCACTGTTAATACAAAACACACTGTAACACATCCMTGATGGGAGGTTAGATATAAACAGCTGGAAGGAAAGTTGAAAAAGATTCTGGGTTACTGGAGAGTGGAGTCAAAAACAYCTGCTCTCATTTTCAGCAACTAAGACTATATAAATGCTTAAGATACTAACTTTTGTTTCTTCTGACACTTATTTTTTTTTCCTCCTTTGACAGACTTTATAATCAACTGACAGAAGTGAAAATCAGAAAGGAGGAAAGAACAAGGCAAGAAATGTATGCTAAAAACAGAGAAAAGGCTAAAGAGTTTCAAAAAGTAAGAGCTGTTACGAGTTCCTRTCTCATACTTTCACGGAACCTGTTACCAGACCAGGGCAGGGTGCAGCACAACCTGCGACAGACACAGGCYGCTATGGCTCAAATGGAGACAAGGGAACAGTTTCCCAGCTTGGCCTGTGTCTTGCCAGACAACTTCGTGCAGCTTTTGTGTTCCCAAGTGATGCTCTTTTGTATTAGAAAGTACAACCATGGTGTTTACTCCTTGGCCTGCCCTTTTCTCTAAGGGGCTTCTTTTCCAAGCTTTTTCTGGTAAGGGACRTGGGCTAAGCAAAAATTCTGTTTAAAATGCCACCTACTTCAACACATATAGAGAAAGATCTACTTAGCTGAAGAACTGAGACGCAAACTTTTTTTTAATTAAGGTTTTTAATAATGTTTACTCACTGAATTTTCAATGTAAGGCAGTTTTCCTTCCTTGGCTAATGTTTCTTGTTCCATACCATATTTAAGGCTGCAAAGATCCTGCCTGGCTTTGCACAATTGCACTAGGTGAAGGTTTCAGCAGCAGGAAAGCACGTGTTAACATTGCATTTCCCAGCCTAGTCTAGTACTGGGCAACTTCCAAGGAATGAAATGCTGAAAAAGCCTGAGCCTGCTGCTCAGGCCTAACTCCTACTGCTGCCTTCAGCAGATTTTGTTTTTCTTGCTCCCACAGCTTCCCTACCACCCACATACTGATTTAACTACCTCCTCCCTTGCTCCTGTGTCAACTGCCTGGATCAGGGGCAGTTACTTAACCCCTTTACCACATTCCCTGAACTTGTATCATTCATCTGAATGAGTGAGGAGGAGGGGCCGGCCTCTTTTCAGTGGTGGCCAGTGACAGGACTAGAGGAAACGGCCACAAGCTGAGGCGCCAAAAGTTCCACAGGAACTTAAGGAAAAATTTCTTGCCAGTGAGGGTGACAGAGCCCTGGAACAGGCTGCCCGGAGAGGTTGTGGAGTCTCCTTCTCTGGAGATCTTCCAAACCTGCTTGGATGCAGCCCTGTGCCCAAGGTATCCCTGCTGGAGCAAGGGGCTTGGACTYGATGACCTCTGAGGTCCCTTCCAACCTTAAGCATTGTGATTCTATGAATATCAAGAGCACTTGGAACTGAGTCACTCTCCTTTTATTTTACTGTTAGCTTGCTGGGCTACTCTCTTCTCTCCTATGTCTTTTTTTTTTTTAAACAGAAAACACTGGAAAAACTACGAGCCAGGAAGAAACCTTTGAAATGACCTTGACTGACATAACTGAGACCCCCAAAAATTACTTCAGTTGTACACTCCAAAGATTGCACTGAAAGAGCTTCCATGAAGCARTGTGATTATGAAAGGGGTGGGAAAGTTGAGCTGTCTGGAAATCAGAAGTAAGCAATCACTGAGGTAACCAAGATGTTTTATTGACAAATCACTACAGACACTGATAACAGCAGCAACAGCTGCTTTAAAGGGTGCCTTCAATTAGGAAAATGAAGACATTGAAAAGCCTTTCCAGAGGTCAGTGTTTTAAAGGAAGTTCAGATGAATTTTTTTAAGAGGTGTATGGACATTTTTTTAAATAAAGGTCTTGTGATAAAACTTCACCCTGGTTGCCTACGAAATAGAGTAGTGCAAATGGTATTTAGCAAGTGCTAATTAATGATGTTGCTACAGCTGAACGATGCTTCCAAAGCAGCTGAGGGTTAAGGGAACTGGTTTCTGGAAAAAAGGTTCCMCTCCTTGAGCACTGTTAATGTTTTGCCCTTCCACAGTTGCTGCTTTAGAGCTGATGTACTTCCAAGTGCCAGTTCCTCTGGTCATGTTTCCTTAGCCCCAAGTAACTTTAACTGCAAGATGATTAGGGTGGAGTAGGAAAATTCAAGACTCAGCTGCTGCAGTCAAAAGTGCTGCCCAGGGACGTTGTGGAGTCTCCTTCTTCAGAGATCTTCCAAAGCTGCTTGGATGCAGCCCTGTGCCACRTGCTCCAGGTGACTCTGGAGGCCCCTTCCAACCTTAGGGATTCCATAATTCTAATTAGAGAAGGAAGCAGTAGAAACTGTTGATAAATAACCCGCATGTGGTCAAACCTCACASTGCCCTTTAGTTTTAGCTCTTCTGCAACACCAAGCCAGGCAACTACTTTTAAGCAGTCCCAGAAGGCAAGAATCCAGGAGGACAAGATGGACTGAACTTATAATGTTCTGCCTGGCCTGGGTGCTTTCATCCTCATTCCCAAATCCACTGCTTCAAATCCCAAATCCACTGCAGTAAAAAATCTGTAATGACTTTTTTTAATTACTGCAATAAGATGTCATAAATATAAAAACATGTCCTTTCTGTAACTGATTTAGAAGAGCTCTCTTGTTCTTCCTCAGCATTGCAGCAGGACCTAAGGGATGAAACACATCAGTATTAATTTTACTACAGGAAAAAAAATCTTAATTCAACTGTCATCTTTATATTAAAGCCTTAAGCCATGAACAAGGCTTTTTATAGTCCAAAGTGACTTAATTTCAAAGCAGAGTGTTGATACAAAAAAMCATTCAGGGAATATAAACATTACCACTAGCAGCTCTGATCGCACTCAGTTCCATTCCCTACTACCATGCAGTTCTTACAGCCTTCCAAAACTGCACTTCTCTTTCCCTCCCATCCTTCTGGATGCAGAARTCCATTGGGTTCAACCTGAAACCAAGCAGCCTCTTCCTGCAAGAGCAGATGCCACATGGGGTGGCCCCAGTGGACCTGTCTCCTCAGCAATAGACCACAGCACACACCGAGTGTCCAAGGCATCCTGCAGAGGATTTCTCACTATCAGGTCACTGCGTTAAGAGCTGCTGGTTCTTCAGCCACACAAACCCTCTTTGAGGTGACCTGGTTCTTTCAAACCCCAGTTTTGCTAAGAGCTGCTCTTACCTTCAGGCTCACTCTGGCTGCACTGATGTGTTGCTTCCTGCCCTTCTGACATGGCCAGTGACTCAACAGCAGACCCTAAGGATTAAGAGAGTCATATGTGGTTAATGGAAATGAGAAGCTGAACAAGTCCAAGGTGGGTGCAAAGCAAGTGGCCTTTTCTGCTCTCTGCCTTCCTGCCTTTGAGGAGTCCTGACTTCCAAAGTAACCCSAGAAGCTGCTCGAGGGCATTACAGCCCAAGGCTCCCATGAGGAGGTCCCATCAAAGTTGCTGGCAGAGCAAGGGGGCCCTGTCTCCCATCTCTGCCATTAAAGYTTTATTCCCAGCAGACCCAGTGCCACACACTGTGGCATGTCAGGAGTCTGGTGGCCTTACTTTGTGGTCATGTCCACAGCTTGCCAGAAACAGAGGCATCCTAGCAGCCTTGGTAATGACCAGCTACTCTTAGCAGCTTAATCTGGAATTCATCAACTTTCAGTATTTAGTTTCCTGTCTTTTTTCATTAAAGACTGTCAATCAGGCCAATTCACTTACACCAAGCTGGGCACAAACCAGCCTGCACTTCCCTAGAACTGAAGCTTCAGTGTCACTCCCAAGTTGGGTTCACGTGTTACTCTAAGTCATATGAAACCTTCTCAACTGCCAGGCGATTCGGCTCTTACCTGCCTAAGAAGTGATCCCCCTCCTCCTCCAGGCAATCCTCCCACCCAGGCAGAGCTCGGCTGCTGCAGTGTCCTGAAGTACCTGCTGGGAAAGGAAGCGTGACCACACGCGAGCCAGCGCGCTGTGCCAGTGCCCTGCGCTCACACCTCCTGCAGGCAGCAGAGCCAAACAGCCCCCRGCTCTGAGGGGGACCACAAATGTTTCAGCAGAAATACCAGGTTTCTCACACACAGCAGAATGAAAACCAACGATGCCAGATGCTGAACTACTGTAGCACTGYTTTTTGAACATCCCACCAGGAGATCACTGCTGGGTGCAGATACCATACAGTGCAACAGCTGCCTCAGTTTGTGAAATAAAAGTGTCCAATTTCAGCTCATTACATCACCAGGTGCCTAACCGTTACATGCAGGAGGTAATTCCAAAAGAGCTGACTGCTTATTACAAAAACTGTCATGCAGCAAAGAAGAAAAAACATCTACTATAACTTCACCTCTGAGGAACAGCTTCAGAAAGTATTTCTTGTGTATCTCCCGGCAATTCCTTTTCCTATAACATTTGTTTTACTTTATATTCTATTGCTAAATACCCAGTCATTTTAAAGGTCTGGTAATAAATTGGCTGAGTATTTTAGGAATTACAAGCTTGGAAATTCAAAACCAACATTGTGTTGCTTAGTATGAAACTAAGTATACACTTGACACAGAACAAAAATGCAAAGAAATTATTTATGAAGTTACTTTAGTTTCAGACAGACACCACAGAGCTGTGTTTTAACTGGTAGCTGCTTAAGCAAGTAATAGTAGAAACTCCTTTCTTCGGGATTAAAAGGGAAGGGCCTGTTCTGACTGATCCAAAAAAATAACAGTAACTAGAAAGTTTTTAGAAACCAAGTATCTTCACACAAGTYTGGCTTCCCTTTGAGCCAACAGTTCAACAACATGCAAGCTGCATTTGAAATCCCAGATCTCGCACACACCATTTTTTGACTCTTACCAAGCTTTTCCATTTGCATCTATTTCTCACAGCAAAAGYAGTCAGTACCTAAACAAGAACACAGGCTTTATTTCCAGCCCTAGGGTGTAAATTAAGRCTTGTCTTGCAGTTCTTATCCCACAGAGCCAACGAGCAGCTCAATGGGCAAAGCGGAACCACAAGTTTATTCTGTGAGGCGTTTCCAACGACACGAACCTATGGAAGAGATCCCATCGGGATAGACCTCAGTTTTTCCAGTACTATGATTTAATACCACAAATAAAAACCAATCAGACTGACCAGTTGCATTGCTTCAAGGTACTCAGGATACAAGTAAATTTAAAAAAATATTTGGAGAAGGATAGATAAGACACTAGTATCACCACACTCAGGAAAAGTGATCAGTACTTGGAAAAGATGAAGCAGTAGCGACGCACMCCCAGACACACCCTGTGCAAGTGCACTAGAAGGGGCATGAGATGCATAAAAAACACAAGTGGTAGCAACGTTTTTAGTGTGAAATGCTAGTGCTACTTGAAACGCCAAAACGGGAATAAACCAAGCAGATGCATTGGAATTGCAATTTTAATTAATGGAATTCTTAAAGGAATTTTCCTTGGAAAAAGGGAATAAATCAAGTAACAGAAACACCCCCCCCCCAACACACACACCCCATCAGTCAGGAAGAGATAGGTCTAAGTTTTGACTACTAACCTAGTAGGGGCTTCATACGTCTGTCAAATGGCTTCTTTATTTCTTCCCACATTGTTCTTTAAACCTGGTACCATCTACAGAAAAGCCACAGCATTGCAGAGTTAAGATGTATGCGTATATAAAACAATCCACAGCATTGCTGGAAATAGCTAAAAACCTTCCCTGATGACCAATCTCCCTGGAATTGCATCTACTTGTAGGCCCCGGTATTCACTATCCTGCTCAAATCATCAGCTCTCAAAGTCCCTTAAAAAAAAAAAAAAAACCAACAATTACACAGATTTGTATCTTTTCTGTTCACTGACAAAGCACAGCCTATGGAATATTCACCCTGGATGCCCACAATAAAGGGCAATGAAACGGACACTGCTTTCAGGTTTGTTCAGAAAGGCTGGTCTCATTCACTGTCTTCAGAGCAGTTGAACATTTTGCCAATCATCACCACAACACAGCAATTCCAAATGTGGAAGAAAAGTGGCTATTTGTTTTATTCAGCAACTCTGCCCCCTTCCAGCTGAAAGGGCTAAGATAGCTCAGGCTCAGATACAGATGCTACACACATAACACCTTGTGTACTTACATTAAAGAACGAGTATCTTGTCTATATTCAAATTAAATGCAAAAATAATAAAATGGATTCCAGTTTCAGCAACCCTGATTTCAGCAGCAGTCACCACACTCACTTACCAGGACATGAGGACAGACTCCACATTCGAGTCAGCTGCCTAAAAAGAAGAGAGGAAATTACTGCATCTGAAAATTAATTGCGCATTTCCTCATCACTTTAATAACTTTAGAAAGATTTAGGTATTTTTTTCTCAATAGGAAGCAGGTAGACAGGTAGGCTGCAGTCAAATTAGGCATCCTTAATGCCAAGAGTTGATGTCTCAACACAGAAATATTTCCTTTGAAGCCAGAGACAGAAACACAGACATTTTACAGGAGACCCCTAAAAGTCAACTAGTGGAATATACAGGAAATATACAAGCGAAGTCATTTTAAACTTGCAAAAATGCACTTTTCTAGCTATCTGTATCCTTTGGCAGGCAGCGCAGAGTCCAAAGCCAGCAGAACAACCTCATCTTTATTTCCCAGTAGCTCGTAGCTGTTTCGCTAGGTAACCCTGTTCCAGGCCTCATTGTCACCACTGCAACCACCCTTACAGTGAGGAAAGCACAACCTGTTGCTCCTCTAGCCACGTTGCTCCATTCCAGACACACCACAAGATGTGTCCAGCAGCTGAATAACGAGGCATAACAATCAACTTCAGAAAGTTTTACAGCACCTGCAAAATTGGTTAGGCTTAGAAATAAACTAACAAAAYGCAAAATACTCCACTAGCTGCCTTCTAGGATTTGAGTTTCCAAAGAGTCTTGTTCCACTTGGAAAATGCAACTTAAATCTAAGACTTGAACTCTCAAGTTCCCAACTATTCCCATCTAGCCAAAAACACCTATTGTCTCAATACTGCCCTTCAGTATTTCACCATTCCCCATTTCGGACATGCCACAGGAACTGCCCTTTAAAGAGACCAATTTAACGTTCACCAATTTAACTACTATACTTAATGCATAAAAACAAAACGTGAAATTAATCAGTGAAGAAAGTTTAAATTGTAGTTAAATGGTTAGAATTGGGTAGAAGTATCCAAATAAGAAACTTGTAATCTATTAGTTTTTGTAGCCTATTAGTTTAAGCAAAAAACTAAGGCTAAGCAGCACATGAGCACAAATGAYGCCAGCTGCTGAGCTGCAGCACTGCTTTTTGCACAGTCCCAGGAAAACACTGCTGCGTGCACATACCACAAAAGTGGTCTGATCATTTGCTGTGGAAATCTAAAATACTTCCCAAAGTAGCCCCAAATCCACATGCTGCAGCTCAGCACAAACACTTCAGAACTTACCTCTTACCACTAACAGGCTCAGGATTTTCCATGAGAGCAGTGAAGTAACAGATCTGCACTGGAGAAGGCCACGTAACAGTTGCAAGAACTGAACTAGTTCAAAGCAGCTGCAGGCACCTTGCACACTCGCCGGGGCAGAGCAGCTGGGCTCACGTGGAGAGGCTGGAAAGGAAGCAGTGTCCCCGGGTTACACATCTGTAGATACAGACCATGCAACTGCTGCCCTAGGTTCACTCACTGCACATATTCTACTAGCAGCTCAGTCAAATATTGTCCCTTCATATAAGTAACACAACTAATACGGAGAGATCAGCTGTGGGTTGCAAAGAAGGGTTTTTTTCTAAGCACTAGGTTCCAGGTTTTTGTCTACAGTAAGAGACAAAAACTGAACAAGTGCTGAAGATAAAACAAACACCTAAGTTCCCATCTACTACTCCACTATTTTGAAAAAAAAAGGTAACAGTATACACAAATCCAAGCTTTTTGGTCTTTGCTACATACTTACCCTGCTAACAACTGTCACCTTCCATTGTCTGCTTTTAGAGGGAAGTATAATTGGGACTAAAGGATAATTGCAGGGAAGAACTCAATATTAGATATTCTAAGAGCAATTCACACTGTGCCACAAACTTAAGTGTTATTAGTCAATACTCTYACTATAGCAAAGGCCAAAAGAAGATGCCCTGTTTACATCCTTACTTGAAAAAATACATATGTTCCTGGGAGGTACCACTGGCACACCCAGCCTTGGGTGCCTCAGGGCTTTCCATGTCAAAGGTATTTTGGTTTTCCTGTATTTCCTTGTTATTCCTAGAGTAATCCTGTAGTATTGGAGCCCTACATGGTATTTACCAAACCACATCATCACACAGTAGGTGGTTTCACAGCTTTAATGCACATAAAATCTGCTCTCTGAGGGGCCCCTCTGCTCCTGCGTAGGGAGGAAGAACAGACTSAAACAAGCTGGAATTCATGAAGATGGAATTCTACACTGGAAAGGGACCCAAAGCAGCAGCTGTAGGACACGTGCCAGCACAGACAGCAATGCTCAGTTGTCACCAGGAAACCAAGTGCACAGCAGTTCTCAGACTCCTTCACCTGGGAGTGCTCCAGGCCATGTCAGGAACAAATCGGACATTTTAGCTTGCCCTGCACCATTCACCACCAGGTCAAACCACATTATTTCTGCACAGCTTCTAAACAAAACTCACATTTTACAGGATTTCAAGAACTCCAAGTTCCACTTCTCCTTTAAACAGAGGTTCTAGTCTTCGTTAGGTTGGTAAAMGCAGGTATTGCACAGAACTCAATTCCATAAAGCTTCACATAAAGAAAATCTACACGGATTTCAAACACTGTCACAAATTCTCTTTAATTATGGAAAACTTAAAAAAAAACATTTTATAAATTAAACCAAAAAAAAGAGCCACCTGAAAGAAAAAGGAATTCAAAACCAGCTAACACAGCTTACCTCTGACACCAAGGAAACTGAGGAGTGTTCCATCTCCCAAGAGCAAGCTGAAAGTTAAAGAGAGATTAAAAGCCCCATCAGATGTAGTTGAAAAACTCAGGACACTCCAAGATGAAACAAGTTTCAGCAACCAATCTAACACTTGTAGCAAGCTCACTTTTCATGTCTACTGATTCAGTTCTAATCAGAATCAAAATTTAGTTCATTTCTGAGTCACTCAGCAGTTGAACAGCAAAATTCATCATGTGAACTACAGCACGAGCGGGACTCCACACACCACTCTGCTGTGCCTTACCTGGCAAGAGCCCTCTCCTGGATCCAGGATGAGTCCTTCAAGCCGTACAGAACATTTCTGATGCAGATGCCTAAAAGAGTTGCATTTAATCATTAATTCTGGAACAATATTAAATAAAATCTTCAACTACTGAAGAGGAAATTCTGCAGTCTTATTCCCTAAAGCTGCCAAGCTGTATTAATGAAACCTCAAGTTACCTTTACCTATATCTGGAAACCTAATTCAGAAGTACATAAGCAATGTACTCAGCCTCTCATTAAATCAAGATCTGTAGTAAGTCTCCTCAGCTCAACCACATTAAATAAAGTTAAAACAGCAGGTAGAGTTCATCTTTTTTGACAATATCCCTGTTCAGCATAGACAGCTCCATGTTAAGAAACTATTCCTGTATTTTGCTCTTTTCTATTGGTAGCTATCAGTTTAAGTTTCAGTTCTCTGAGTTAAGCTGCATCTCCCTTAAACACTGAGAAATAATCCCTCAAATAGCCCTAAGAATGAGCGAAGAGGATCTAATTTTAGTCTGTCAATGAGGAATATGGGCATAGAACCCTTATGGTTGGAAAAGACCTTTAAGATCATTGAGTCCAACCATAAGCTCCTCAACACTAAACCTGTTAAACCATCTCTGTAAGTGCCTCATCTACACGCTTGTTGAACACTGCCGGGGACAGTGACTCCACCACTTCCCTGGGCAGCCTGTCCCAGGGCTTCACTACTCCTTCTGTGTAGAAATTCTTCCTAACATCTAACCTGAAACTCCCCTGGCACAAGTTGAGGCCAATTCCCTACATATGCACATGTGCAAATCCAAGTGTTCTTCCATACTACACAGCTCAACTGCATGAGAAACCATTTGTACCTTTTTAGTTACAGATTATGCATGAGTTATGCAAGTTGTAAAAGCTGGTGTTTGAACAGGCTTGTCAGCCATGGAGTCACAGCTACTGGGGGAGGACAGCACAGAGCAGACAGAAGCTTTATTAAAGACATATTTAGAAAGACATTTTTAAGAGATACTTTTATTAAATGACATTTTCCCATAGCTTAAGTTTCACACACAAACAAGCCAAAAATGCTCACCTTAAACCAAATCTGGCTGAGTTCCTTGCTTCTCTTCAGAAGCACCATTTAAGGCAAGGCAGCAGCAAAAGGTCCATCCAGGGCAACCACCACCACCTCACTCGGGAGCTTTCTGCCCACTGAATTGGACCCTGGTGCAGCCAGAGCTCTCGGCGTCACATTCTTCACTTTCTACTTCTATCACTCCACTGGATTTTGCACGCTTTGTTTCTGACCTCGATTTTTTCTTGTTGGGGATATTGCTGCTTATAATGAAGCAGCTGTTCTCCTAAGTCAACAGAAAAGATCAGGTTTGAGATAGCTTGAAATAAATAAATACTCYGGTAGTAACTTCGTGAGCCTCAGAATTCTTCAGAGAATTCAGAGTCTACACATTCTAATATTATTTCATGGAAGAGCAAAAGCAACTTCCTCAAAGCAACTTCCTTCTGTATTACACATTAGGAACACTGGCATTACAAAGAGTGAGCACTGAATCCAAACTCAAGGAAGTAGGTTTATTAAAAATAGTAATTCTTTAGCATTGAAACAGAAAGAAGGTTAGAGAGTTTGTGAAGTTAAGGAGTATTTACTTACCACTACTCTGGCATCAAAGACCTCTTGAGTATCAGAATCCAAGCTSTTATCACTGAAATGCAAAATGCAAATCAAGGTTTATACTTTCTACAGTAACAGTCTAAAGTTTGTATAGGCTGTGCGTAACAGAGTCCCCAAGTCTCTCTTGATGTGTATGGACGTGCTATAGCTTGTTAAGTATAGAATAATTCTGCTTCTACACTAAGTTGTCCTAAAAGCACCAATTCTGATCACAGATTTCTATCCCAGGTAGAAACACTGGCAGAACAGAAAGTGTTCAGCAGTAGTAAAATATTTAGGATGACAAAACAAATACGTTAGCAAGTCAGCAAGACACAACACCAGCAGCCACAATCAAGAAAATAGAAGAACAAGCAACAAACTAGCAGAGTAGATAGGTGGGTTTTTGCTGATTCTGTAGAAAAAAATGAATAAATAATCTCAAGCACAAAGCTACTTTCTACGACTCTTCCCTTTTTTTTCTCTGAAGATAGCTAGGACCCCACAGAAACCATTCCACACTTGCCACAAGCAGCAGAGGGAGGGCTGTTTCCACAGCCATGGCTCTGGAAGTCTCCTAAGACCAAGTCTGTACAAAGACAGGCCAAGCTGGGGCAGCTGATTTGCATTCCTCATGTTGAATGTTGGACTCGGCGCCTTTCTTTTTTTCCCCTCCTGCTCTTTCATCTGAGTACAAGCTAATGATTATTTTACAGGCTCAGTTAGAGGCTTTTGGCTTATCACCTACACTGTATAGGTGATAACTGAACTGTGGAAGAAAAATAGATTCTAGACTCTCTTATATTGGACTATTACATATATTTACAGTAGGAAGCCAACATACTGATTTCTTCATCTCTATGTAAGAAAAAAATATTTGATCATGAAGACTTTACATGATACTACAGAATTTTGACTATAAAGGATATTCAAGAATGTTATTCAATCTTTGTCATAAARCCTTCCACTTCTATATGAAGAAACAACAGTAGAATTGTTACAGAATCGTAGAAGTTCTCACATGGTTTCTACCATTTCATTTTAGTGAACAGACCATAAGRAAAGCGCCTCAGATTATACATATCCCATTCTACAAGCAAGAAATCCCAAGTGGTTTAGTAGTTTTGTTCCCCCAATAAATGGGGATTTTGATCAGATTTGCATATCCAGATTACATAATGTATTTATATAGGTTAGAAGGACAGTATAGGAACTGAACCTGAACTTTCAACTTGGCCACAGCATTACAAGCAACTATGCTACCCCCTCAATTCCACTTTATAAAATGTAAACATGAAGCAAGCTTCAGAAATACCTAAGTCTATCCAACCTGCACTGTCCTTTACAACATGCAACGTGTATGAAACATACATTCACACTGAAGAAGAGGGCTGATAATTTTTTAACTACTTAGGTAATTAAAAAAATAACCAAATAACTTACTCTGTCTCTTTGATAGGGGAAATGGGGCCTTCATCATCTAAATACTTGTGTTTCCTCACTGCCAGGCATTCCCTTTCCAAGTCTTCACTTGCTTCAAGATTTTTTAAAGCCTTTTTGAGATGTTCTTCATATTTCAGCATTTCAATGTACTGGAAAAACCCTTTTGCAGCTGCTTGCTAAAGGGAAAAAATGCATCAGGCAACATTTAATTACCACTAAAATAAAAAAATAAGGCAGTTATGAACTGAATTTTAATACTGACACCCTTGTGCCTCACTTTTTTTTTTCTTCTTCTTTTAAAGACTGGGAAGGCTGTTTAACAAGTGCCCTCTTTACCAATCTGTTTCACAGTTCAGTCAGCTCCCTTCCATCAAGCAAAAGCTCCACATACACAAATGAAATTCACTATCTTAAAATAAGTAGAAAAAAAATATTTTAAATAAAACATTTCCCCTACAAGCAGAGGACTCACCTCATAGCCAAGCACCATCTTTAAAGGGATATGTTTCTTCCCATAATGTTTTTCAACAAAAGGAAATTGAAAGCCTCGATCTAAAAGCCTTTTCTTTTGCTCTTGGGGAGATGCTGTCAGTGGGGGCCTCCCCATAGGCATCTGGGTGCTCTCATATCTTCTCCTTCTCTTCTCTGAGCCACTCCTATATTTCCGGTGTGCAGCAGCCTTAAATTTCTTTCCCCTGAAGTGATAGGCAAAAATGGCTTTCAAATTGAGACTTGACTTCTGCTGTGTGGCTGTTTTAGATGATTTCACTGGACCTTCAGAGGACAGAGAAGAATCTGAACTTTCAGCACCAGACACTCCTGCCCGTTGCTTTGAAGGCTGAGATCTCACTTGTTGCTTGGAAGGTAGAGCTGAGCTCTTAGTGGGGCTTTCACTGCCACTGGAAGCACCAAGATCCCTGAAGGAGAAGTAACACTTGCAGAGGACTGTTTACATTTACAATTTATCAGACATGAAGTATTTCAAGAAACCAGAGAAGACTCACGTTTCTGAAGCACTGCTGTCCAGGAGGTGCACGACTGAAGCAGCTGATTTACGGCCACCATCAAGCTCATCTGGGGATTTCTCAGCAGGGGTGGCACCCTTCTGCCCAGAGCCTGAACGCCCACTTTGTGTATTTACCTCACATTCATATACCTCAGGTAAATCTTTCTGCTCAATGAATATCACATCTTGATCAGAATCAGAAGCCTGGGATTCCTCTGTATCAGTCATGTTTCAATTTGCCCTAAAATCAGTGAGAATTCAAAAAATTCATAATTACAAAAAACATTAATCATATAACAAGCCTCCACCCACTCCATCTAATGTGACTCATTTATCAGAGCAAACTGTGAGGAAACCTGGACAGATTTTTGCTATGAACTGCAAGCAACTGAACTAGCCACCAGTCAAATTTCCTAACAACAAACAGCRATATCTCCCCAAAAATGTAGTTTCTTATAGTCCTTGTGGTTCAACTGCCTAACAAGCAAGGCTAACTCCTGTGCTGCATCAAACTGTTCACCAGCTTGTACAGGGCAGTTCCAGTGCCTCCAGCCAGAAATCCCACAGCTTTGGACAACCTGTTACAAGGTTTTATCCCACTCACTCCTAAGGGACCAATTTTTCCCTTTAACAGGAATGCAAACACGTGGCCAGCAACTTCTTAGAATTGCAAGATACGGGTAACACATGCAAATACTCGCTTTCCTTTATTTACCATCATTTCAACCTAAGCAAATGCCAAACTCCATCTTTCCCCTTCTGTTCTCCCCCTAGTCCCACAATACCTAAAGCCCCTTGGTGCTTTAAGTCTTATCAACCAGGTGTTCGCTGTCAACCCACATGGAAGCTAACCAAAAAGTTCATTTCCAGGTGAACCACCAAGACAATCCAATTTACTCTCCAGCCCCCCAAGGCTACACAGAAGGCTCCCAAACACACAGCAGAAGGAACCTGCCTTCCTATGCAGCAGCCTGGAGCCATTTCACTGGCTAGCTCCTTACTTASTCACCCTGGAGCACTACAGTGTGATAATTCTTCTGGGCTGCCTACAGTTTCACAAGTCATTCACACTTTTCTCAGTAACGTTTTGAAAACAGTAACAGAGTTTAGCTGAAAACACTACAAGAAAAATACTATTACATGTTTAGGTAACTGGCTGCTGCCATGAGCGGCTTCACATTTCAGACTACTAGACTCAGGTGAAGAGCAACAGAAGATAAACATATGCAAGAGGAAAGCTGAAGTCTAGAAATAGAGCAGATGTCTACACAGACTAGCAGAACATGAGGACAGCAAGAAAACAGCACAAGTGCTTCCARGCATTACGGACAGGCGCAGTCACCACTGCTCCATACAGTGAGACCCACATCCTCCCCATCCTGAGCAGATAAATCCATCTCAGGCCTATCCACAGACCACAGCCTAGGCATCCCAAGCCTGCTGAGCCCTGCACCAGCCACTGTACGTTAAAGCAGCCCGCATTAGGACTATTTTAAGCAAATGCATCACTCGGCTGTGCAAGGCAGAACCTATTTTCTTTTTTCCCTCGTGAAAAGGCAGGCTCGGAGGCAGCTGTTCACAGCCGCTCCCATCTCCCGGGGCCCTCCCCCCGCCGGCTCCAGGCCGCGCGGGCATCTCGGCGCGGCCCAACCGCCCCAACGGCCGGGACGCGCCCCGGCGGGCGCCGCTGCCGCCACCGCGGCGCTCCCCGCCAGCGGTGACGGCCGCACGCGGAGCCCCGGCGCCTGCCCCGCGCAGGGCCAGGCCGGCAGCTCCCGAGGAGCCGCCGCGATGGCGGCGGATGCGGCGGCGCCATCACCCACCTGCCGCCGCCCGCCGCAAAGGGCGCGGCGGCGCCGCCCGCGCGCTTACATAGCGCCCGGCTCTCGCGAGACGCGCGCGGCCTCACGGGAGGGAGGGAGGAAGGGAAAGAAAGGGGCGGGCTCGGTGTCGCTAGGCTGCCGCCATGTTGGGGGTGGCGGGGGGCGGGACGGGGAGGGGCGGGATAGCGGCTCCGCGGGGCGGGCAGCGGCGGCAGCGGCGCGAGCGGCCGCAGGTAGGTGCGGAGCGGAGCGGAGCGCGCTGCCGGGACCCGGACCCGGACCGGGACCCGGACCGGGACCCGGACCGGGACCCGGACCCGGACCCTCGCCGGGATCCTGCGCCGCCGCCGCCAGGGCACCTCGCGGCCTCTTTGCCCCGTCCCCTCGCCCTCCGGGCGGCTCCGGGCTCCCCCTTCGCCCTCCTCGCGCCCGCAGGCGCCGGCCCGGCCCCGCTCCGCCGCCCGCCGTGCGAGCCCCGCTGCTGCCGGCGCCGCCAGCCCCGGCTCCGCTCCCGCAGCGTCACCCCCAGCCTCCGTCCGGGGCCGCTTTCCCTGTCTGCTTCCCAGGCTGTGTCCCCCTCTGGCTTCTTCCCTCGAAGCTGCCTGAACTCACGTTCTGCCACCAAGCCCGGCCCAAACCTCACGGCTCCTGGCAGCGTTTTTCCTGACCGCTCTTTAGTCGAGCTCCCCTTGGTAGAGCTCAGCCGTCTGAAGTCTCTGTGGGTCTTGGATCTTGTCGTACCAGCCCAGATCTCGCAGGAACTTTTCTTTACTGCTCTTCCAACTTGTAAAATGGGCGCAGCCTCYCATTTAGGCCTCCTTTCCTTCCAGGTCGACTGCAGTCTAGCAGTCAGTCCAAGGTCCTTTCTGTTAACTCACTCTCCACATGTTCCTTGCTGCCTTTCTGGATTGCAGGGAGTTGACTACAGTTCTCCAGACAGCAGGTGGTAATCCAGGTGTAACATCTAGCCCTGATTGTTTGAGCTGGGTCTAAGTTTTGTTTCTGCTTTGTGCACAGCAGCGTCTTTAGTCTGGACTTTCTCACCTTGTGTCTCTCACAGGCTCCTTCTGGACATGACAAAAGGTCTCTGACAGGGTGGCAATCATTTAAAGCAATGCTGCCAGAGTTTCTTCCAGCTTTCTTTTACTGTATTGCTCCCTGTTTTGTGTTGAGAGCGCCCTAAATGTAAAATGTTGGGGTCTAATTCACTGCGACTGACGGAAGACACCTAGTCCAGCCTGTTGCCTCCTCGCTACAGTCAGAGGAGGGAGTCGCCTCATCAGCCTGGCTCTGCACAAGCTCCTCTCTTTTCCCCCTTCTCKTTTTCTCCTGTAGTAGCTGGGGACGGCTGAACTCTGAGCACAAGTACCTCAAGTAACTGCTATAATCTCCCAGGTTTTATTTTTTATTTTTTCCCCTCCTATGGACCCTTCGTGTTTCCTTTCTGCAGGCTCTAGAGGGCTGTGGCTAAGGACTACTTTTTCCTCACCTCCAGGTGTTTGTTTTTGACAGTCGTAAATGAATGATATTGTTAAATAAAAGTTAAAACTACGCATAAACAGATCCCTGGCATTATAATCCCTGCCAACAAAAGTTCTTCAGATGAGGAAATTAAAGATTTTTTTTTAAAGATATTTACCCATAAGATAGGGGTAAATAGGGTCCAGTTTCACTGTGTTGTGTGCGGCAGGCAGGGCCCTAAGGAGTTAATGATTGCTGGGGCTGGTTCAGAGGTGGTGTCTAATCATCTGTTTCTGCCCTGACCTGGTGCTTTGCCCTAGTACCTGACTTGGCTGTTGCAAGGCTGACTGAAGTCTAGTTCGTTTAAACAGAGGCTCAGAAACCTAAGTTCAAAGCAAAGCTTTTTGTTGGGAGCCTCTTGCTAGGGGATTCCACAAGCGGTGTTGGGACTTGCTGTTGTTGTCTCTTGTCTTGAGAAATGCTCCTAGCCTGCTTGCCCCTGGAAGGRGGAATGTGCCCAATATCAACTGCAGACCACGGCACAGCGGAGGCTGAAAGTCCACAGCAGGTTCTGCTGCAAAAGTAAACATCAAGGAAGGACCTGGGGAGGCAGCTAATGTGCTCAGAAAAGCCTGGGGGGTTGTTTGCTCTTTTCTTTTTCTTTTTTTTTTCCCCCAAAACAAAAGCCTGCTTCAGTCTTATAAAGGACAGGTAGCTTAGTGATTGTCTCAAGGTGATTTTATTGTAGGCTGTGTTTTGCCTCTAACCAGTTGTAGGCTTGAGGACTAGCATGTGTAATTCTGTGAACCTGCTGTAGGGTAGAATTACAGTTCTACCCCCTCTGCATTCTTGAGTGAAAAAGCAAAATAAGTCACGTATCAAAGAACAGTATGGAGCTAGAAGCCAGTTTTAATTATTAAACCATTATCCTTGTTAACAGGTCAGTTATTTCTAGAGCTTGGTGCATACGCCATGACTTCTGAATAGAAGAAAACTGCACGAGTTAGGAAATGGCCAAAGTCGAGAGGTTTGCTTTACACGTTCCAAGCTTGGAGGAGCTTGCTGGAGGTAAGTGATGCGGTGGGCAGCTGTCTGCACACTTAAAATGTGCCCTTCAGCCTTATGTTGAAGCTCTTGCCGAAACCTTTCCATAGCAGCTACGCGCAGAATGCTTCTGTTGCTAGCACGATGAAATGTAAAGAGAAACACTATTTTATCTCTGCTTTATCATTTCTTTAAAACTAACAAATAAATAAAAGCTCCCTAAACCATCAGGCTCCCTATGCCATCAGGTTCTCTTTAAAACAGTGCAAAACGTGCAGTAGTTTCACAGCAATAGACTGAGGTTATTGACACAGATGGGATTATTGGCCTTCCTGTCCATCCTGTATTAATCTTTCTTTTTCAAGGCAACTCTCAGCACAGCTGACAAGAAGCAGTGCAGTGTGGCAGGCTGAGAGCTGCAGGTGGTTCCTCTTTTAATAGTTGAATTAGAACCAGGGCATGGGACGCTATTTAATTTCTTTTTGTTTATTTCCCCATCACTTTCACAGAACGTTCTCATGTACTATAGAATACCGCTTTTCTTTACCCTACTGGAAAGGGTAAGGAAATTCCTTCTGTTTCCTGCAACAAATATACTATAGTTTTTCTTCTGAGAGATTCTAAAGTTCTGCTGCTCACCCTAACCTGTGTTAGTTTGACATTTACATGATTTGAGAGCATATGGTCCTAGCAGATGCTTCTTGGTGCTTTTCCCACTCAGAATTGTCCAAGGCTGCTTGTCGACCTCTGAGTTTGCTGTGATTGCGGTAGAATAGGGTACAACAGTAGCAAGAGAGTTGGGTAATCAAGCATGATTTTCCTTTCCTTTTTTYGTCTGCCTCTTCTGAGGATCCCCTATAAGCTGCAAGTTTTGTTGCTGTTAAACTTTTGGATATGATTTGAGGAATGGTATTTTCTTCTCCACCTTTTCTGAAGGTACCAAGATATATTTATAAACCTGTCAAGTACCCTCTGCTGATCTTTGTGGTCAATGGCTTGGTAATTCTTCTCCCCAG